TCCTTCTGTCTCTTTTCTCTCCCAGCTTTCTCACCGTCACGATACACTCTAGTTTTCTCCTTCTCATGACATGACCCAAAAATGTTAACTGTTTCTTTCTAATCTGCGCAGTCAGTTCTCTTTGGAACCAGTTTCTTTTATGATGTCTTTGTTTCGCTTCTCATCTGTCCAGGGTGTTCTTATCATATTTGTGTAAAACCACATGTCCGCCGCTTCTGTTAGTTTTCAATAAGTGGCAAACTGTCCATGATTTGCTTCCGTGTATCGAGTTAGCGTTCATAAAGCTCTTCTGATTTACTGCTGCAGATATCACCCGCCTATAATCGTCTTTGTGATTTGCCTTCTTTTCCTAGTTATATATCGTGATCTGAATGTTACGAGAAAGAGCATTTAATTTTATCAGATTTTAAGGCCTAGTATATCTTGTTTTTATATTGTATTTCTTCTCCTAATATGTTGACGCGGCCGAAAATTGTGTTGTGTTTTCCATTCTTTCCCACTCATCTATAGTCTATATTTATATAAAATGTAAAGCCAACTTCCCGCTCTTATTACAGACATGAATGGGGAAACCCCGATCGGCTAGTATAGAAACTATACTATCAGAGATCAAAATCGACTACAGCGATGCCGAAGGGCAATTAGGGTCGCGTCCATTAACGTTTCTTGGGTGTTCATCTATTCACAATCTATTTTCTCACAACTCAGCTCCGAGCTGGGCTAATTTTGTAGTCCAGAAACGTCCATCATTTGTTGTAATCAAATTGCCCAACTAATATCTTTTTATGGGCCAAAGGATATCCTGAATGAGTCGATTACCGATGAGTGGTGGGATCGATACGTGAGTAAAGTACGATACAAAATTGAACCCAGAGGCGCCAAAACAACGATAATTGGGGCGGGAAAAGGGGGGGGGGTGCAGGCACAGCGTCCTTATAATTTTCTTTGATAGCTTTCAAGAGGCTTACGCCTCAAGTTAACTGCGCAATATTAATAATAATAATTTACTGTAAGATGGCACGTTTCCGGTTATACTGTCCCGATGGAGAGGTCCCCAAGGGAGCAAAGCAAAAATAATGACTGCAGACAGGTTGAGAGCTGCGCGTCTGAGAAGAACTACACCGAATTCATGAGATGGAAACAACTGTCCTAAAATCCCATGCTCTAATTGTGGAAGACATTTGTTAACGCGGGCCGGTCTAGTAAGTCGCACTCGCCATTGTCATGGGGCAGTGATTTCATAACTCTCCATACCCTTAAATAATAAAAGTACTTCTACTACTACTGCTGCTGCTGCTGCTGCTGCTGATACTACTACTACTGCTGCTGCTGCTGCTGCTGCTGCTGCCACTGCTGCTACTGCTGCTGCTGCTACTACTACTACTGCTACTGCTGCTACTGCTGCTGCTGCCACTGCTGCTGCTGCCGCTGCTGTTGCTGCTGCTGCTGCTATGGCTGCTGTTATGTTGTTAGTGGCAAATAAATATGAATAGCTCTCTACGTGGTTGGGGGACTTATTTGTATGCAGGTTGTTGGTTCCTTGCTTCTCAGACAGGTGCACTCCGACTTCGAATTTGTCAACTCTTACGACATGCTTATTGTGAAGGCAGTGGGTCTATTATTGCCCCCCCCCACACACACACACACACAGTGAAGCCCCGGCACCTACACAGAGAGTACAATCTATTCTAACTATGACCTCGTTTCCCAGATCGATCCAGCCTCGGAATTGGTGAAGTCATGGGAAGTAAAGGCAGCAATGCTTACACATCACCCACCAAGTGCTGATTGGTCTATAGAACATAGGTCTCGTCCTATATGCTGATCACGCCCGAAGACTTGGACCAGGGTCATTGACTTACTTTTACTTAGCCTGTTCAACCTCTAAAGAAGATATAATTAGGATATGTTTTGGCCCCACCAGCCTGCAGTAACGGACAGTCCTGTGTGGGTAAGGAGTTTACTGCAGTAGAGGCGCCGATTTCCTATCAGGCTGCCTGTGCAGGGAGCGACGTTCTGCAGAGGAGATCAGCGTGTCTGTCTCAATCAAGGCTTTTAAACTGACGACACGCGGGCCAAATCTGGCCCACAGGGGCATCTCAAGTGGCCCGTGGATCACCTGCTTATTGTTTTGTATTATTAATCTTTCTACGTTTGGGCTCCGGTCTTTGGCCCGTGACGATCCCTATTGTCCAACGTTTTGGTCCCTGAGTAAACTATGTTGAGTGGGCTTGATCTAAGCTCTTGATGTCGTTGTTGACACATAAAACATTCACAAGGAGCTGCCAGTCTCCTATTTTTCTGCCTTGATACCCCATATCGGTTTCTACTCCTTCCATTCTTCTGGTTTCTTTGGATCGCCCATGTCTTTTCTTTGCATCTACTGTCCTTGAAAACACCTGCTATATAATTATGTGTTCCTGTGTGTTTCAGATGAGAGTTGGTATCCATACGGGCAGAGTATTAGCGGGGGTGGTCGGACGCAAGATGCCCCGCTACTGTCTCTTTGGTAACAACGTGACGATAGCCAACAAGTTCGAGTCTGGAAGCGAACCACTCAGAATCCACATCAGCCCTACAACCTTCGAGTAAGTAGTTTCTTCTTCTTCTTCTTTTTCTTCTTCTTCTTCTTCTTCTTCTTCTTCTTCTTCTTCTTCTTCTTCTTCTTCTTCTTCTTCTTCTTCTTCTTCTTCTTCTTCTTCTTCTTCTTCTTTCTTCTTCTTCTTCTTCTTCTTCTTCTTCCTTCTCTTCTTCTTCTCTTCTTCTTCTTCTTCTTCTTCTTCTTCTTCTTCTTCCTTCTTCTTCTTCTTCTTCTTCTTCTTCTTCTTCTTCTTCTCTTCTTCTTCTTCTTCTTCTTCTTCTTCTTCTTCTTCTTCTTCTTCTTCTTCTTCTTCTTCTTCTTCTTCTTCTTCTTCTTCTTCTTCTTCTTCTTCTTCTTCTTCTTCTTCTTCTTCTTCTTCTTCTTCTTCTTCTTCTTCTTCTTCTTCTTCTTCTTCTTCTTCTTCTTCTTCTTCTTCTTCTTCTTCTTCTTCTTCTTCTTTCTTCTTCTTCTTCTTCTTCTTCTTCTTCTTTCTTCTTCTTCTTCTTCTTCTTCTTCTTCTTCTTCTTCTTCTTCTTCTTCTTCTTCTTCTTCTTCTTCTTCTTCTTTCTTCTTCTTCTTCTTCTTCTTCTCTTCTTCTTCTTCTTCTTCTTCTTCTTCTTCTTCTTCTTCTTCTTCTTCTTCTTCTTCTTCTTCTTCTTCTTCTTTCTTCTCTTCTTCTTCTTCTTTCTTCTTCTTCTTCTTCTTCTTCTTCTTCTTCTTCTTCTTCTTCTTCTTCTTCTTCTTCTTCTTCTTCTTCTTCTTCTATTCTTCTTCTTCTTCTTCTTCTTCTTCTTCTTCTTCTTCTTCTTCTTCTTCTTCTTCTTCTTCTTCTTCTTCTTCTTCTTCTTCTTCTTCTTCTTCTTCTTCTTCTTCTTCTTCTTCTTCTTCTTCTTCTTCTTCTTCTTCTTCTTCTTCTTCTTCTTCTTCTTCTTCTTCTTCTTCTTCTTCTTCTTCTTCTTCTTCTTCTTCTTTCTTCTTCTTCTTCTTCTTCTTTCTTCTTCTTCTTCTTCTTCTTCTTCTTCTTCTTCTTGTGTTATTCTTAGAATACCATGGGCCTTGAATCACGGTCTGAGCTTTGAGAAGAATTGTCTCCGAAAGATGAAGTATTTTGGCCACGTTAAACTTCACGCTGGGTCTGGAATGACCGGTCATGAAGGGTAGAAGTTACAGAAAATAAATCAGAGGCAAACATCTGGAACGATGGATAGAAAACTTTGAAGGTGCATTGGCAGTGAAGCACATAGGGCTGGAGAATTAGCTAGAGAAAGAGAAACTTGTATGTGTACCGTGACGAAAGCGAAGTTTTGTAAAGGACTTGCTGACCGATTTTGTTTCTATCAGTTCCCTTTGGCTCAGCTTTTCTGTTTTAGACCATTCAGCAGACGCTATAACAGTTACCTTGGCCCTGTGTTATAAATCTGGGTCGAACCCTGTGCTGAAATGTCATTATACTGTATCCTACTGAACACACTACACAGATGGTGATAATAATGTCTCTTTTTTTAGGCTGATCAGTGGTTATATAATATTTTCAGGCTGTCCGGTATCTATACATGTATTTTCAAGCTAAGCAATAATTCTCTATTTTCCGACTGACCAGTAATTCTGTATCAAGACATGTCTGTTAAAGCTGGCCAGTAATTCTGTATCAAGATATGTGTGTTCAAGCTGTGCAGTAATTCTGTATCAAGACATGTGTGTTCAAACTGTCCAGTAATTCTATATCTAAACATGTCTGTTAAAGCTGGCCAGTAATTCTGTATCAAGACATGTGTGTTCAAGCTAGCCAGTAATTCTGTATCAAGACATGTGTGTTCAAGCTGGCCAGTAATTCTATATCTAAACATGTCTGTTAAAGCTGGCCAGTAATTCTGTATCAAGACATGTTTGTTCAAGCTAGCCAGTAATTCTGTATCTAAACATGTCTGTTAAAGCTGGCCAGTAATTATATATCAAGACATGTGTGTTCAAGCTGGCCAGTAATTCTATATCTAAACATGTCTGTTCAAGCTGGCCAGTAATTCTGTATCAAGACATGTTTGTTCAAGCTAGCCAGTAATTCTGTATCTAAACATGTCTGTTAAAGCTGGTCAGTAATTATATATCAAGACATGTGTGTTCAAGCTGGCCAGTAATTCTTTATCTAAACATGTATGTTAATGCTGGCCAGTAATTCTGTATCAAGACATGTTTGTTCAAGCTAGCCAGTAATTCTGTATCTAAACATGTCTGTTAAAGCTGGCCAGTAATTATGTATCAAGACATGTGTGTTCAAGCTGGCCAGTAATTCTATATCTAAACATGTCTGTTCAAGCTGGCCAGTAATTCTGTATCAAGACATGTGTGTTCAAGCTAGCCAGTAATTCTGTATCTAAACATGTCTGTTCAAGCTGGCCAGTAATTCTGTATCAAGACATGTGTGTTCAAGCTATCCAATAATTCTGTATCTGTTTCCAGGCTAACCTGTAATTCATTAATATTTACGTTCACCAGTTATCCTATATCTTTTTTTCAAAATAACCAGTAACTCTCTACTTATTATCAGGCTGATCAGTAATTCAGTGTCTATTTTCAGAATAACCAATAATTCTTATCCTATTTTTAGGCTGAACATTAACCTATACCTATTTTTAGGCTCAGTGGAAATTTTGTATCCATTTTCAGGTTCGCCAGCAATTCTGTATCTATGTTTAAAATAACCAGTAACTCTGCACCCATTTTCAGGCTAAGCAGTAATTCAACATCTATACATGTATCGGCAGGTTCACCAGTAATTAGATGGGTCTTTTATATGTTGTCTCACCACATCAGGCTGGCCTCGAGATTAGGTGGGAAAATCCCCGGACCGTCCTATAGTAAAAGGGGCTTAGGGTTAGGCTTAGTAGTAGTAGCTATTCATTTAACACTAGTCCTAACCCTGAACCCTGTACAATATAGGACATTCTAGGGATTTCCCTACTACATCTCGAAGCCAGCGTAATGTGGTGAAAAAACACAAAAGAACCATTAGGTGTCTATTGTCAGACTGGACCAATAATTCAGCATACATTTGTTGGTTTATCGGTTATTAATTATCTGGTTTCAGATTGATCAAACTAACACCTGGATTCACATTTACCCCGAGGTCAAGGGACTATCTACCAGCGGGCTTTCCCGAACAGATTGGAGGAATTTCCTATTTCCTAGACGACTACGAATTCCCGGACGTCAGAGGATGCGGCTCCGCTGTTGATCACATTGCCTTGGCGGTAGATTACTACAATATTAAAGACGGAGTCAGTTAATTTCCGAAAACCCCCCTAGAATTCAGTAGTGGCTGAGTGGCTTGGTGGTTGTTGTTTTTTTTTATTTTAGCTATACATCGCACAAGGAGTTTTGATAATGTTGATGAAATCCCCGGAGTATGTCAGAGTAGGGGCAAATTGACACATTGGTGGAAATAAAGTGTTGACTGTGTTGGTGAGGTAGAAAATATTTAATATCTGGTACGGGTGTTCTATAAACGACATCATAATGATATAAGAATTTTTTTTAAACGAACACCTTCAATGCTAGTGGTACACTGGGTGTATGATGCTGAACTCGTAAATATATATATATATAATTTGCCCGGCTCGCTAGCGTAGTTGGCTAAAAAGGATTGCGCGGTGACCGGGTGACGAACTCCTTGTGGTCCGGGTTCAAACCCGGGGGTAGGCAGAAAAGCAACATTTCTCCAAGATTTACGGTATGTATCATGGAATCAAGGCCGAAGGATTGCCATATCCATAATACCGAGCATAAGGGTAAAAAACTCATGGCGTCTGGATACTAAAATATATATATATACATATACTAATTTGAGGTCATTGTGACAAAGTCAACATCACACCACCGCCTTTACTTTGCAGGACATTACATAGAACCACGTCCATCTTTAGACTATAAATATATAGCTACAGAAGGGCGTGTCTGGAACCTATTGTAGGCTGGGTCTACCGAGTAGCCAAGGCCAATTATAATTTATTTACACGAAGGTCCAGTTCCGCGCGGATTTGAAACCAAAACCTACAGACTGGCAGATGAGCGCCTAAACAATATCCTATCATGGATCCCAAATGACGCGAACGACTTCACGAATGCATGTAAAGCTAAATAATTTGTATTATTCTTTGTTGAAATTATTATTGTTATTATTATTATTATTATTATTATTATTATTATTATTATTATTATTATTATTATTATTATTATTATAGCTGAAGTCGAGCTTTTGAGAATATTCTTACGACGAATCGTTGGACCTGTTCATTAAGTATGCAAACAAGGGATAATTTAGTGAAGCAACAATGAAATTCATAATCTGTTTCAATCACCGCTAGTTATCCATATAACCTGGGTTAATAGATTAATATGGTTAGGACATGTGGACAGAGAAATAGCAGATAACAGAGACAAGAACTGCGTACACGAAAGGGTGGAGAGGTAACACGCAGACATACTAATACTTGGCGTTACCAACTGGAAAGAGAAGGCTGAAGAAGAAGAAGAAGAAGAAGAAGAAGAAGAAGAAGAAGTAGAAGAAGAAGAAGAAGAAGAAGAAGAAGAAGAAGAAGAAGAAGAAGAAGAAGAAGAAAAAATTCTTCACGTTCACCGGTTGTAAACTCCAGTGGAAATTTCTTGTTGTTTGTCCACTTCTGGAATCTAGTCCCTGTTCCAGAATCTGAGTGTTGCGTGCACATCAGTTTGCGATCTGACCCCTGTGTATGTAGATTGCTGGTTCTTTGCTTTTCAAATAGACGCACTCGGAAAAATTTCCCAATTAGCCGACTACTACGACATGCTTTTAGGTAGGCAGTTGGTTTATTCTTGTTGTGCCTACAATGGGACACTAGAACACACGTGGGGAAGAAGAAGATTATGTTGTTGTTGTTGTTTTTGATTATATAGTATTATTATTATTATTATTATTTATAACCCCCAACGGCTACGTCAGGTCCCACTATTGCACCCTGTTGCCTGATGTGG